GAACTCACACTTGGACAGCTTAGCAAAGAGCCTGTTGCTCCTCAAGCGAGTGAGGACCTCGGTGACATGCTTCACATGTACCTCCTCAGAGTCACTGAAGATCAGGAAGTCATCCAAGTATACTACCACATATACTCCAATGATGTCCCGGAAGATGACATTGATGAATGATTGGAAGTGAGCCGGAGCATTGGCTAGGCCGAAGGGCATCACTAGGTACTCATAGAGTCCCAACTGAGTGCCAAACGCTGTCTTCCATTCATCTCCTTTAGCAACCCGGATGAGGTTGTATGCTGCTCTAAGGTCTAGCTTGGTATAGATCCTTGCCTTCCTGAGCAAGAACAGCTGCTCCTCGATGAGGGGCAATGGTGCTCTGTTCTTGATAGTGATCTCGTTGAGACCTCTGTAGTCGACACAGAGTCTGAGACCTCCATCCTTCTTTGGTACGAAGAGCACTGGTGATCGTGCTGGGCTCTTCGATGGTCTTATGAACCCCTTCTCGAGGTTCTCATCCAAGTACCTCCTCAACTCGGACATCTCCTTGGGTCCTTTGAGGTATAGAGGCCCTTGAGGTGGCTTGCCTCCTTCTATCAACTCGAGGTGGAGATCATGCTCGGTATGATGGGGCAGCTTGTCTGCTTCCACCTCATCGAACACATCTCTCAAGTGTTGGTATGGCTTTGGTATGTCCGCAGCCGTCACCACCTTGTCCACCTCCACCTCCATCTCGATTCCTTTGTCGGTGCCTGTAGGTACGAAACCAAAGGCCGGGAGTGATGATGGTGGTTCCTCCAACAGCATGAACCCTATGGGTCCATCTTCCAGAGCTGCTCGTAGTATGCGCTCTGCTGAGACAAACTCATTACCATGAAGGGTTGGTCTCCTCATGGTTAGGTCCCCTGCTCCTGCTGCTTCAGGGGGTCTCTTCAGGGGTCGGTCCTGCTCCTGAGTCTTGAACTCCAGCTGGCCCGTATCCCATCGTATGGTGGGCTTGAGCTTCCTTAGCTCAGTGAACCCTAGGATGAGGTCGTAGTCGGCAGTGTTGGCCACTGAAGCTTCGACCACACCCAGATTGTGGTTACCAATAGTTACCTGCATGCTCGCAGCACTATTGATGGATAGCTGGTGTCCGGTGACACCATGGATCGATCTTGTTTTTATGGGTTTTGTTGGTATTTGGTACTTACTAATGAAAGAATCTGAAACTATGGACAAACCAGCACCGGTATCAGCTAGTATTCGAGCAGGATGGTCTTGAACCATTCCAGAGAGCTCCAGTACTGCTTTGCCTCCACTGGTCGAGAAACATACTTGACAATCTTGATATATACAGAGTGATGGCGAGGAGGTTTGTAGAGCAATGCATGCCATCAGTGCATCACCCCACTGACGTTTCCCTCGTCATCATCATCGTCTTGCTCCTCCTCGTGATCGAAGTCCGAGTCCATATGCTGCTGATAAGGCCGGAGGTCCATGTCCTCCTGCTCTGGCTCGGTATTGCCTGAGCGGCCATCTCCAGCGTCGGAGGCCTCGTCGAGGGGGTCCTTGGTGACGACCATGACCTTTGGTCCCATAGGTCGTGATCCCAGAGAGTCTACCCTCCTGCTAGGGCAGTTCCTGGCCCAGTGTCCGATACCATTGCACAAATGGCAGGTGTTGTTGCTGCCTCCTGATGGTGCCGGGGTTCCTTTTGGAGCTGGGGTGGGTTGATGGGGAGGAGGACGGTTGTTTGAGTGGGGAAGGGGTTGGGTGGAGTGTCGCGTCGGATAAGGTTGTGGCGGTCGATAAGGTTGAGACGGAGGATAAGGTGGGGCCGGTGATCGAGTTGAATAAGGTTGCGCAGCCGATCGCCGAACGGGAATTGAACTCTGAATTGGCCGAGTTCCTGGAGATGACGCGTTGTTTGCTTGCACGTGTCTAGCTGAGGCCTGCTGCAACAGCATCCTTTGTCGGTCGATCTCTTCGACTTCCCGGAACCACTCCCATAGCTCCTTCGGTGGATTCCTTTCAAACTTCTCCTGTATGCTGCGAGTAAGGCTTCCTCTGAAGAGGTCAATGGTTAGCTCGTTGTCTCCTAGGTTGACCTGTCCTTCCAAGTCTCTGAACTGCTCTACGTGTCGTGTGGCAGCTCCTGGTGCATCACTAGTGAGTCTGAGGGCTAGCAGCTTGTTGTAAGCCTCCATCCTAGCATTCCGGGGGTTGAACTGTTCAGCTAGTCGTTTGGTGAAGAACTGCCAGTCATTGAATAGCCTCCCTTCTCTAGCTCTATCAAAGCGTAGCTTTGAGGTCCACCACTCTCGAGCAGTACCTTCCAATTGAGAACCCAGGTGGTTGATCATCCGGGTGTGCTCGTAGACTTGATTGAACCTAAACCAAGCTTCGGCTTCTAGAATGTAGATCTCGATGTCTCGGGGATTGAACTTTGGGAACGGGGTTGCAATGGGCTTTGAACGATCTGCCATGATGCTTGCCTCCTCCTCCTGGTCCTGAACATAAGGGTCCACTCGGCTCCTGCTGTAGGGGTCCCTGGTCTTGAGATACTTCGGCCCGGTGGGGGAAGCATACTTTTCATAGTTGGTCTCAGCATGTTCATTCAAGTTGAATGAGACTGATGGTCTTGATCGTGGCGCCGGAGTAGGAGTATGGGGGTCTCCTATCATGGATTCATCTCCTCCTCCTGCTTGGTCTTCTGAGTGGGAGAGGTCCGTTGCCTCCTCAGTCAGATGAGCTCGTCGTAGTCGTTCCTCCCGATGGCTTTGTCTGGTCAGCTCTAGCTGAGCTTCCATCAGTGCTAGTAGCCGGTCTAGCTTGTTGTTAAGGTCCTGATCCGTCATGGTGATCGTGAGGAGCTGCTTGAACGATCCACTCTAATGTCAGGGGTCTTGCGCCTGAAACCCAGGTCAGTCTGTCGAGATACTCGGTGACTATCGAACTGTGCGACAGCTATTGTCTCGGTATCGGTGACTATCAAGTTGTGCAGTGACAGCGGGTGGCGTTCGTGGTATATACTATCTTAGGTTTCGGCTGACCTCTGTGGACACTCCGTTCAGAGGTGGCTCGGCACGATCGATATCAATGTTATGAAGGTTATGGTGATACCAGGGTCTGGTGTTGGTGTTGATGATGATGAGGTTGTTGGTGAATGTCGATGAGATTGGTGGTGAGGTTGGTCGCGTCAACACGAGTGTCCAGTGTGCTGACTAATGCTGAGTGATCCCCGGACCGCAGTGGACTACTGCCTTCGGTTCTATCTATATCCGGACCGCTACCTGCTATAGGCGCCTACGGATTGTCAGGTAGTGGTGATACAACACACGCACTACGATGAGGAGCAATCTTGATGGATTGCTGCTATGCTGACTGCTAACTAATGAGTACTTGTGTTCTAAGTATTGACTAGTTATATGGTGAGTAGAGTGGATGGGGATCCACTCGGCCTATGATGATGAGAAAGCATGGTTATATACCTCTTCACAGTATCGCCAGCGATGCTGCTCCTGCTCTCTCTCCAGAGAGTGCCTTCTTCATCGAGTACTGCTCAGGGGCCTCTCCTGCTTGGCACCCCTGTGCCTCTTGAGCTGTGTCGACTCCTTCGACACTGCTCCTCCTCCTCATGAGCTATGTCGACTCCTTCGACACTGCTCCTCTTCCTCCTGAATTGTGTCGACTCCATCGACACTGCTCCTCCTCCTCATGAGCTGTGTCGACTCCATCGACACTGCTCCTCCTCCTTATGAGCTGCTTGCCGGTTACCAGTGACCTCTTGTCAGCAGGCCGGTCCTTCATGACGTGCTTGGACCTCCTTGCATACAGGCCGGTCCTCCATGACGTGCTTGGACCTCCTTGCATACAGGCCGGTCAAGTTGCTCTCCCACTACGCCTGCTACTAGTACCAGCTAGGCCTCCGGCCTCTTGCTCAACCATCCTTAGGCCTGCTATGGTGGTCTTCCTTTATGACCCGAGCCTTGGTACTCTATGCTCCCCTTCTATGAACCTCCATGCCCGTGTCCTAAGGCCTATGACACACTGCTCCTCCTCCTCATGACCTGTGTCGACTCCTTCGACACTGCTCCTCCTCCTCTTGACCTGTGTCGACCTCCTGTCTCTCGAGCCCCTGAATGGTAACCATCTGCATGCTCCTTGAGCTTGGTCCTCCTCGTGGCTGTGCCTGCTCCTTGAGCTTGGTCCTCCTCGTGGCTGTGCTTGGCCCTCCTTTGCATGTGAGTCCATAGGAGTCCATGGTCTCCATGGAGACTGCACTACGACCATGCTCTCTACTGGTGTCGACTAGGTCTTCGATACCTGTGCTCCTTCCATATGAACCCATGACCCTCCTGCTTCTTGAGCATCCAAGGCCCATGACACAGTACTCGATGAAGAAGGCACTCTCTGGAGAGAGAGCAGGAGCAGCATCGCTGGCGATACTGTGAAGAGGTATATAACCATGCTTTCTCATCATCATAGGCCGAGTGGATCCCCATCCACTCTACTCACCATATAACTAGTCAATACTTAGAAACACAAGTACTCATTAGTGAACAGTCAGCATAGCAGCAATCCATCAAGATTGCTCCTCATCGTAGTGCGTGTGTTGTATCACCACTACCTGACAATCCGTAGGCGCCCATAGCAGGTAGCGGTCCGGATATAGATAGAACCGAAGGCAGTAGTCCACTGCGGTCCGGGGATCACTCAGCATTAGTCAGCACACTGGACACTCGTGTTGACGCGACCAACCTCACCACCAATCTCATCGACATTCACCAACAACCTCATCATCATCAACACCAACACCAGACCCTGGTATTACCATAACCTTCATAACGACATTGATCGTGCCGAGCCACCTCTGAACGGAGTGTCCACAGAGGTCAGTCGAAACCCACAATAGCTGTCGCACAACTTGACAGTCACCGAGTATCTCGACAGACAGATCTGGGTTTCAGGCGCGTGACCCCTGACATTAGAGTGGATCGTTCAAGCAGCTCCTCACGATCACCATGACGGATCAGGACCTTAACAACAAGCTAGACCGGCTACTAGCACTAATGGAAGCTCAGCTAGAGCTGACCAGACAAAGCCATCGGGAGGAACGACTACGACGAGCTCATCTGACTGAGGAGGCAACGGACCTCTCTCACTCAGAAGACCAAGCAGGAGGAGGAGATGAATCCATGATAGGAGACCCCCATACTCCTACTCCGGCGCCACGATCAAGACCATCAGTCTCATTCAACTTGAATGAGCATGCTGAGACCAACTATGAAAAGTATGCTTCCCCCACCGGGCCGAAGTATCTCAAGACCAGGGACCCCTACAGCAGGAGCCGAGTGGACCCTCATGTTCAGGACCAGGAGGAGGAGGCAAGCATCATGGCAGATTGTTCAAAGCCCATTGCAACCCCGTTCCCAAAGTTCAATCCCCGAGACATCGAGATCTACATTCTAGAAGCCGAAGCTTGGTTTAGGTTCAATCAAGTCTACGAGCACACCCGGATGATCAACCACCTGGGTTCTCAATTGGAAGGTACTGCTCGAGAGTGGTGGACCTCAAAGCTACGCTTTGATAGAGCTAGAGAAGGGAGGCTATTCAATGACTGGCAGTTCTTCACCAAACGACTAGCTGAACAGTTCAACCCCCGGAATGCTAGGATGGAGGCTTACAACAAGCTGCTAGCTCTCAGACTCACTAGTGATGCACCAGGAGCTGCCACACGACACGTAGAGCAGTTCAGAGACTTGGAAGGACAGGTCAACCTAGGAGACAACGAGCTAACCATTGACCTCTTCAGAGGAAGCCTTACTCGCAGCATACAGGAGAAGTTTGAAAGGAATCCACCGAAGGAGCTATGGGAGTGGTTCCGGGAAGTCGAAGAGATCGACCGACAAAGGATGCTATTGCAGCAGGCCTCAGCTAGACACGTGCAAGCAAACAACGCGTCATCTCCAGGAACTCGGCCAATTCAGAGTTCAATTCCCGTTCGGCGATCGGCTGCGCAACCTTATTCAACTCGATCACCGGCTCCACCTTATCTTCCGTCTCAACCTTATCAACCGTCACAACCTTATCGACCGCCACAACCTTATCCGACGCGACACTCCACCCAACCCCTTCCCCACCCAAACAACCGTCCTCCTCCCCATCAACCTACTCCAGCTCCAAAAGGAACCCCGGCACCATCAGGAGGCAGCAACAACACCTGCCATTTGTGCAATGGTATCGGACACTGGGCCAGGGACTGCCCTAGCAGGAGGGTAGACTCTCTGGGATCACGACCTATGGGACCAAAGGTCATGGTCGTCACCAAGGACCCCCTCGACGAGGCCACCGACTCTGGAGATGGCCGCTCAGGCAATACCGAGCCAGAGCAGGAGGACATGGACCTCCGGCCTTATCAGCAGCATATGGACTCGGACTTCGATCACGAGGAGGAGCAAGACGATGATGATGACGAGGGAAACGTCAGTGGGGTGATGCACTGATGGCATGCATTGCTCTACAAACCTCCTCGCCATCACTCTGTATATATCAAGATTGTCAAGTATGTTTCTCGACCAGTGGAGGCAAAGCAGTACTGGAGCTCTCTGGAATGGTTCAAGACCATCCTGCTCGAATACTAGCTGATACCGGTGCTGGTTTGTCCATAGTTTCAGATTCTTTCATTAGTAAGTACCAAATACCAACAAAACCCATAAAAACAAGATCGATCCATGGTGTCACCGGACACCAGCTATCCATCAATAGTGCTGCGAGCATGCAGGTAACTATTGGTAACCACAATCTGGGTGTGGTCGAAGCTTCAGTGGCCAACACTGCCGACTACGACCTCATCCTAGGGTTCACTGAGCTAAGGAAGCTCAAGCCCACCATACGATGGGATACGGGCCAGCTGGAGTTCAAGACTCAGGAGCAGGACCGACCCCCGAAGAGACCCCCTGAAGCAGCAGGAGCAGGGGACCTAACCATGAGGAGACCAACCCTTCATGGTAACGAGTTTGTCTCAGCAGAGCGCATACTACGAGCAGCTCTGGAAGATGGACCCATAGGGTTCATGCTGTTGGAGGAACCACCATCATCACTCCCGGCCTTTGGTTTCGTACCTACAGGCACCGACAAAGGAATCGAGATGGAGGTGGAGGTGGACAAGGTGGTGACGGCTGCGGACATACCAAAGCCATACCAACACTTGAGAGATGTGTTCGATGAGGTGGAAGCAGACAAGCTGCCCCATCATACCGAGCATGATCTCCACCTTGAGTTGATAGAAGGAGGCAAGCCACCTCAAGGGCCTCTATACCTTAAGGGACCCAAGGAGATGTCCGAGTTGAGGAGGTACTTGGATGAGAACCTCGAGAAGGGGTTCATAAGACCATCGAAGAGCCCAGCACGATCACCAGTGCTCTTCGTACCAAAGAAGGATGGAGGTCTCAGACTCTGTGTCGACTACAGAGGTCTCAACGAGATCACTATCAAGAACAGGGCACCATTGCCCCTCATCGAGGAGCAGCTGTTCTTGCTCAGGAAGGCAAGGATCTATACCAAGCTAGACCTTAGAGCAGCATACAACCTCATCCGGGTTGCTAAAGGAGATGAATGGAAGACAGCGTTTGGCACTCAGTTGGGACTCTATGAGTACCTAGTGATGCCCTTCGGCCTAGCCAATGCTCCGGCTCACTTCCAATCATTCATCAATGTCATCTTCCGAGACATCATTGGAGTATATGTGGTAGTATACTTGGATGACTTCCTGATCTTCAGTGACACTGAGGAGGTACATGTGAAGCATGTCACCGAGGTCCTCACTCGCTTAAGGAGCAACAGGCTCTTTGCTAAGCTGTCCAAGTGTGAGTTCCACACCAAGACGGTGGAGTTCCTGGGTTACATCATCAAGCCAACGGGTATTGAGATGGACCCAGAAAAGATACGGACTGTCAAGGAGTGGCCGATGCCGGCGTCTATCCATGACATCCAACGGTTCCTGGGTTTTGCTAACTTCTACAGGAGATTCATAGCTCACTTCGCTCGGATAGCCAAGCCATTGACATCACTGGTGAAGCCGACGGAACGCTTCAAGAAGTTCGAGTTGCCGGAGGAGGCCCAACAAGCCTTCCATCAGCTCATTCAGGCGTTCACATCAGCAGGAGTGCTTCAGCACTTCGACTACCACCTTCCAACAAGGTTGGAGACCGATGCAAGTGACTTTGCTATAGCAGGAGTACTCAAGCAGGAGCATGAAGGACGATGGCACCCAGTGGCCTTCTACTCCAGGAAGATGTCTTCTGCCGAGAAGAACTACGAGATCCATGATAAGGAGCTCCTAGCTGTGGTCGCCTGCCTCACTCAGTGGCGACACATGCTAGCTGGACTACCTAGTCAACTAGTCATCCTCACGGACCATGAAGCCCTCAAGTACTTCAAGTCCCAGCGACGCATCACTGGCCGACAGGCTCGATGGGCAATGATACTAGCAGACTTCGACTTCATCCTGCAGTATCGACCAGGAGACAAAGGTGGTGAACCCGATGCTCTCACCAGAAGGGCAGACATGCAACCAGCTGGTGAAGAGCAGGATCACAATGTGAGGCAACTACTGCCTCCTCGGGTGTTTGCGGAAACAGCGGACCACGACTCGACCCTAGTGGCTCCCATGCTCTCGATGGAGTCCATAGCATCGAAAGGGCTCAAAGACCTGGTCAAGATCTTCCAGCCCTTAGATCAAGAGCTACAGGAGATACACTCGAAGAAGCCCTTCGAGCTCAAGGACGACCTATGGTACAGTGGAGGAAGGTTAGTCATCCCCAAGGTGACCATGCCAGGGAGGACTAACAACCGACACTCAAGGAGTGCCAAGGAAGTAGATGGACAGTCTCTCTCTGTAGAGCATCTGCGATTCATGGTGATGACCCAATGCCATGATGGTGTTACTGCCGGACATGTAGGAAGAGATGCTACCATCAAGGCAGCTCAACGGCACTACTGGTGGCCAAGCATGACAGCTTGGATTGCTGACTATGTAGCTAGCTGTCCAGTTTGTGCGAGGTACAAAGCTCCTCGTCATCGTCCGTATGGACTTCTACAGCCACTTGCCACACCAGACAGGCCCTGGGGCTCGATATCCCTCGACTTCATTGAAGGACTACCACCTTCAAAGAACTATGACTCCATCCTCGTCATTGTCGATAGGCTGACCAAGTTTGCCATCCTGGCCCCGACCCATAAGACAGTCACGGCCAAACAGACTGCAGTGTTGCTATATGGACACATGGTTAGACTCTTCGGATACCCTGATCACATGGTCTCGGACCGAGGCAGGCAGTTCATATCAGGAGCATGGAAAGCCTTTGCAGAGCAGATGGGTGTGAAGCACTCACTTAGCACGGCTTATCATCCTCAAACTGATGGTCAGACAGAGAGAGTCAATCAGGTCGTGGAGCAGTACCTAAGGATGTACTGCAACTATGAGCAGAACGACTGGGCCGACCTGCTGGACACTGCAGCCTTTGTATACAACAACACGGTCCACAACAGCATTGGTGTCTCACCATTCTTTGCATGCTATGGATGGAACCCCAAAGCCCATCCTGACATCCCTCAACAACTAGGAGTCAATGATCCAGGTCGCTTCGAGTACCTCATGGATGGGAAGGAGCGTTGCAAGTATCTTCAGGAGCAGATCAGGGAGGCACAGTGTCGGACGGTGGACCAGTATAACAGGAAGCACAAGGACATCGAGTTTAAGGTGGGTGATATGGTCTATATCAACCGCCGGAACTGGAAGACCAGGCGACCTACACCAAAGCTGGATACCCGGTTTGCAGGACCCTATCCAGTCCAGGAACGAGTAGGACGCCGAGCATACAGGATCACATTGCCAGCAAACCTTAGGGTTCATGATGTGTTCCATGTCTCCATGCTCGAGCCAGCAAAGACTAGCTCACTTCCTCACAGGACAGACCAGCCAATCATACCATCACTTCCTGATGAAGACCTCGACTTCGAAGTAGAAGCACTCATTGACAAGCGCTCATTCAATGGGACCACGGAGTACAAAGTGCTTTGGAGGGGGTACTCAGAGGAGGCAGCCTCTTGGGAACCCGTCTCAAACCTCGACTGTCCCGACCTCATCCGGGAGTATGAGGTATCAGAGGGGGGAGGAGCGAGCAGAAGAAGGAGGAGAGAGCAGGAGGAGGAGTAGGAGGAGAGGAGCTAGTATGAACCAGACACAGAAGCATGACTAGCCTCAACGGAGCTCGGCTCTTAAGAGGGGGGTAGTGTCATAGGCCTTAGGACACGGGCATGGAGGTTCATAGAAGGGGAGCATAGAGTACCAAGGCTCGGGTCATAAAGGAAGACCACCATAGCAGGCCTAAGGATGGTTGAGCAAGAGGCCGGAGGCCTAGCTGGTACTAGTAGCAGGCGTAGTGGGAGAGCAACTTGACCGGCCTGTATGCAAGGAGGTCCAAGCACGTCATGGAGGACCGGCCTGTATGCAAGGAGGTCCAAGCACGTCATGAAGGACCGGCCTGCTGACAAGAGGTCACCAGTAACCGGCAAGCAGCTCATGAGGAGGAGGAGCAGTGTCGATGGAGTCGACACAGCTCATGAGGAGGAGGAGCAGTGTCGATGGAGTCGACACAACTCATGAGGAAGAGGAGCAGTGTCGAAGGAGTCGACATAGCTCATGAGGAGGAGGAGCAGTGTCGAAGGAGTCGACACAGCTCAAGAGGCACAGGGGTGCCAAGCAGGAGAGGCCCCTGAGCAGTACTCGATGAAGAAGGCACTCTCTGGAGAGAGAGCAGGAGCAGCATCGCTGGCGATACTGTGAAGAGGTATATAACCATGCTTTCTCATCATCATAGGCCGAGTGGATCCCCATCCACTCTACTCACCATATAACTAGTCAATACTTAGAAACACAAGTACTCATTAGTGAACAGTCAGCATAGCAGCAATCCATCAAGATTGCTCCTCATCGTAGTGCGTGTGTTGTATCACCACTACCTGACAATCCGTAGGCGCCCATAGCAGGTAGCGGTCCGGATATAGATAGAACCGAAGGCAGTAGTCCACTGCGGTCCGGGGATCACTCAGCATTAGTCAGCACACTGGACACTCGTGTTGACGCGACCAACCTCACCACCAATCTCATCGACATTCACCAACAACCTCATCATCATCAACACCAACACCAGACCCTGGTATTACCATAACCTTCATAACGACATTGATCGTGCCGAGCCACCTCTGAACGGAGTGTCCACAGAGGTCAGTCGAAACCCACAATAGCTGTCGCACAACTTGACAGTCACCGAGTATCTCGACAGACAGATCTGGGTTTCAGGCGCGCGACCCCTGACACAGTGTCGAAGGAGTCGACACAGCTCAAGAGGCACAGGGGTGCCAAGCAAGCAGGAGAGGCCCCTGTCATGGGCCTGGATGCTCAAGAAGCAGGAGAGTCACGGGTTCATATGGAAGGAGCACAGGTATCGAAGATCTAGTCGAGATCAGTAGAGAGCATGGTCGTAGTGCAGTCTCCATGGAGAGCATGGTCGTAGTGCAGTCTCCATGGAGACCATGGACTCCTATGGACTCACATGCAAAGGAGGGCCAAGCACAGCCACGAGGAGGACCAAGCTCAGATGGTTACCACTCAGGGGCTTGAGAGACAAGAGTCATAGGACACTGGCAAGCAGGTCCTGAGGAAGAGGAGCAGTGTCGAAGGAGTCAACACCAGGTCATGAGGAGGAGGAGCAGTGTCGAAGGAGTCGACACCAGGTCATGAGGAGGAGGAGCAGTGTTGAAGGAGTCGACACCACTCAAGAGGCACAGGGGTGCCAAGCAGGAGAGGCCCCTGACACAGTACTCGATGAAGAAGGTACTCTCTGGAGTAGAGAGCAGGAGCAGCATTGCTGGCAATGCTGTGAAGAGGTATATAACCATGCTTTCTCATCATCAAAGGTCGAGTGGATCCTCATCCACTCTACTCACCATAACTAGTTATCACTTCAGCATAAGTATATATTAGTTTCAGTCAGCATAGCAGCAATCTACCAAGGTTGCTCCTCATTGTAGTGTGTGTGTTGTATCACCACTACCTGATGTCCGAAGGCACCCATAGCAGGTTAGCAGTCCAGATCAAGATAGAACTGAAGGCAGTAGTCCACTGCGGTCTGGGGATCACTTCAAGCATCAAGTCAAGACACTGGACACTCATGTTGACACCACCAACCTTATCACCAACACCATCAACCTCATTATCATCAACACCCACCAACCTTATCACCAATGTCATCAACCTCATCATCATCAACACTCACACCAGACCTTGGTGTCATCATAGCATTGATATTGATCATGCCAAGCTACCCCTGAACAGAGTGTCCACAGAGGTCAGCCGAAACCTACAATAGTATATACAACGAATGCCACCTGCTGTCACTGTGCAACTTGATAGTCACTGATACTGAGACAATAGCTGTCACACAGTTTGATAGTCACCGAGTATCTCGACAGACCGACCTGGGTTTCAGGTGCGAGACCCCTGACAATCATCATCAACACTCACACCAGACCGTGGTGTCATCATAACCGAAGCATTGATATTGATCATGCCGAGCTACCCCTGAACGGAGTGTCCACAGAGGTCAGCCGAAACCTACAATAGTATATACAACGAACGCCACCTGCTGTCACTGCACAACTTGATAGTCACAGACCGACCTGGGTTTCAGGCGCGAGACCCCTGACAGAAGGTTCATTATGGAGAAGGCATGCTCCAAGATTTGGTCTTCATTCCAGTTGGCATGGGCCTCTCTGATCACTTGCATGGTGCATTTGAGCAGGGCTATGCTATCTACCCTGGGTGGCATGCTGATTGGTTGCAGTTGCTGGTTGCAGAGTGCTGGAAGCTGCTGAGCTTCAGACTCTTAATCAGTTGAGGTGTTCAAGATTGCTGCTATGAGTGGTGTTCTAAGTACAGGCTCAAGTTCAGAAGCCCCCAAGTCCTTTGCCACTTGTGTGTGAGCAGGACTACTGCAAAAATTTTCATTCACCAGAATTCCTATGTTGTTACATCTTCCTCAACTCTAACCCTCCTCACCTCTTCCTCTCTCAACCGGGCAAAAAGCATACAGCAAGCAAGCCAAAAAAAAGATTCTGGAGACTGCATGAGTCGAACACGCGACCTTTCGCAACTTAGACAACATGCTAAGCGAACGCTCTACCAACTGAGCTAAACCCCCGATAGTAGACAGATCGGTGATATTCAACATTAGATTTTTGTAGAATTGATGCGTCGCCTGACGATGACTTGCCAAATCGGGGATGACGCCGAGCCAAGCAAGCAAAGTTCGCCTGTGCCTGTGCGTTAGGTCTGAGCCAAATTTCACGCGCACGTCCAACACACTTTCGCAGCCTCTTGGGATTCCTCGAGGTGGAGTTGTTTTGTGCTCTGGAAAGACGTGCATGATGACCCTTTCCTGAGCCCTGAGTAGCAACATCCTCCGCACCACCATCATCATCACCACCATCATCATCACCACCATCATAACCTTCACCGGACCACAGTATCTAGTACGCTTCAGTTGAGCTTGAGACTTTTCCATCTCATCCGCCGATTCCCACAACGATAGCTCTTCGTACTGGTCCCTCCTTGGTGCCTTGACGGCAAAGTATCGCTGACTCGCGGACCCAATCCAAGCCACCGCTTCGGTGCATAGACTCTCGATCCAGTCGACAATCTCATCGAGCTCTGATATAGAGCCATTTGAGACGCAATGTCCGAACTCTTCGACAGCTACGCCTCCGATCTTCAGCAGCTGAAGGACAGCGTCTGCCAGAAGATCGACCAGGCCAAGTCCCAGAATGGCGAAGCGAAAAACTCGACACTGCGCAGAGCAGAGATGGAAGTAGAGGAGGCAGAAGAGGTCATCTCTCAGATGGATATTGAAGTGCAAGGCTTTCCGCAGTCAGTGCGGTCACGCTACTCGGTGCAGATCAGAGGCTTTAAGCAAGAAGTGCAGGCGCTTACAAAGCAAGTTCGGGCAGGGCTTTCGGCTTCTTCAGGTGGAGCTCGTGGTGGAAACGACGCAGCATATGCAGATGAAGATGTAGATGTCGAAGCCGATGCTGCTACTGCGAATCGTCAAAGATTGCTACAAGGCACCGCATCGCTCGAAGATGGAACACGGAGGCTTGAGGAATCCAATCGTCTCGCACTTGAAACTGAAGACCTCGGCGCTGATATCCTTCGCGATCTCAGAAGTCAAAGAGAACAGATCGAGAACTCCAGAGATACTGTAAGTGCCCACTCGGATGATATGGAGCCCAGTGACCATGTGAAACTGATATGTTTGCTGTTACCCTTTGACTCGTCCTTTTTCAATCTTCCCAGCTCCGACAAGCCGACCAAAGCATCGATCGCTCCTCCCAGACTCTGTCCAGGATGATCCGTCGGTAAGTGTTTGCAAGCCGCTGGATAGAGGTCCATAGTCCCGGCGCATACTGAAGCTGATTTACTCTCTTGGTCTCACGCTTGGCATTCTTCGCTACAGGGCCAAACAGCAAAAATTGGTTACCATAGGCATCATTGTCTGCCTCGTTCTTTTGATCCTTCTCATTCTGTACAACAAGCTCTTCTGATCCCGCCACAGTCTTTGAACATTCCGGCTCTTCTCCCTTGTCATGGTCCGCCATTGTCTTTTCGTGTAAATATGTTCCGCTTCGGTAAGCAATCAGACTGATCAAGTCATAGACGGGTCACACAGACGTCATGCACAACTCAATTGTGATAATATTGCAGTGATGGTATTGCGGGCCTCAAAAGGCTCAATGCGGATAGCTTCAGAGAACGCCGAGTGGGTCCGAAGTCATCGCCCTGCTCGAGTTCTGCGTGCCATCATCGTTTGCTCCTTGGTCTTCCTTTTCATGACTGTCTCCGCTTCCTGCGTACGATGGAGCTTTCCAACTTTGTTGCCTGCTGTCCGCTCCGTATCCTGAACGAACTGCATTTGCATGTCCTTGAGGAACACTGCCGTATGGAACGCGCATTGCGACGTGCTCGCGCTGCATCTCAGCTCTCATGCTTGTATTTGCCGCCCACGGATTGTGCACAGCATGATTCGATGCCGCTGCTGGTTCAGAGTAAGGTGGAGCTGCAAGCTCGCTGCCCAAACTCAACGGGTCCTGGTGAGCCGAGTGCTGAGAACCGAAACCTAGCGAGGCCAATTTCAACTGCTGTGCTTCTCTGGCTGATTTCATGGGACTGGTAGGTCGTGCTGACGACTGAGAGAGAGCAGAATCATGCGCAAGCGGAGAGCCCTCGGGAGCAGGTGCAGCCATCGCTTCTTGCAGACGACCCCAACCGCCAATGAAGAGATTCTTCATGCGATTCGCTGCAACATCGGCGGCACTCGATACGTTGTTGGCCATAGCTGTGGCCGAGTCCGGAGAAGCAGCCGAGATGTCAGGAGTGGAAGCCAAAGGTGCTCCTGTCTGCTGTACCCGAACCTTGGGCTGTCGTGCCTGATACGATAACGTCGTTGGGCCAATCTGAGCGTTTGTAACCAAGTCGACAGCACCCGGTGCAGGTGAAGATGCAATGCTCTTGTTCTGGCAAGTTGCAGATGCGTCTGCAGCGGCAGCGGCTAGTGGATCAAGCACTGGATCCGGATCGCCAGCACCGACCACAGCGATGTTTGCATCTGCTTTCTCCAGCTCGCCTCCGCCAGGCACTTGCACGAGGTTGGCAGTCTGGGCGTCAGCACCATTCATGTCGGCGCCGGGAATCTTGAGTGCATCAGAGGATGCGTTAGCTGAGTTGTCGCCGCGTACAGCACGCTCAAGCCTCTCTCGAGCTCTCCTCCTTTCTTCGGCTTCCTTGTCTAGCGAAGCATTCATGTCGCCGGTTGCCCTTCGGAAAAGCTGTTCAAAGTAGCGGACATCGCGAGGATCTGCGATCAAGACACCCATATCGGTGTCTTTGCGTTTGGGATCGCGGTCGTCGAGCTCGGGTTGGTAGCGCGGGTTGCAATGTTTCTTCTTGACGTCGGGGCTGAGCAGGTAGGACCATGCACTGACGGTGCGTGTGGAAAGAAGAGGCAGGAGTCTACCATCTTGGTCTTGAGGTTTCTGGCGCTCTCGTTCGCAGTCCATAAGGAAGGTTCCGTACTTGCACTCTTGCACAATCTGAAGCAGCTCGACGAGATAGGCCGAGTCGTACTCGAAGCGATGTGGGAACTGACGCATGATCTGCCACAAGCAATCGAGGAACTGGTGAAAGACGGGAGAAGTCTCCTTGATGTTGGAGCCCTTCTTTGGACCTGCGACAGCGCTGGATGTAGCTGCGGAGAAGTTGGCGGTAAGTTGCTTGGTAAAGCCCCAGAAGGCGTTGGCAGCAGCTTGGCCATCAAAGCCACCTGCACCACCACTGCCGGCGTTGGCCTTGTCGAGCTCAGGATCTGTGTCATAGCCATTGTCGTCATCATCGTTGGGGTTGGCATAGCTGTTTTTGGAGGCAACGGTAAAGTAGCGTTCGGAACCCTTGAGACCGCCTCTGTCTGTGAACTTGTGGCCGAAGCTGAGCCAATCCTTCTCGATGAGAACAGCGAGACCGTGGAAAGTGCGGAAGTAGGGGTCTAGACAGACTTGAGCGATGGCAGCGAGCTGTGAGGTGCGATCCCAGCCATCGGAACAGTGAATAAGAACATGGGAGCTGTTGATGTGAAGGTTGCGTACGATGGACATGGAGCCTTGCATGAGCGACTGGATATGCTTGAGCCACATGGACTTGCGCAAAGCTGCGGGATCGACGGGTGTCGGGTTGAGAGGCAGCACCGAGGCAGATGCGTCGGTGAGTGAGTCTGTTAGGGTAGGATCGTTGAGCGCCTCCAGAGGCATAGCAAAAGTGGCGATGGGTTCGCTTTCACGCAGAGCGTCGGTGAGCTTATGGAGACTGTCGCGCATGACGTGAATATTCTCGATGCCGAGGTAGGATTTCTTGCAGCCCTTGTAGTATTCCATATTCTCGGTGCCGGCGCCTTTTGCTACGTTGGCCATGGCATTGGTGGTGGGACGTGCGTCAAGGATGAGGTTGGTGGTGGTGGCGCCGTAGACGGTAGCTAGGGCAGGTGCACCAGAAGCGGTGGAGGCGGCACCAGTGGCGGGATCGGCAGCGACTTTAGCTGTGATGGATTCGGGGTCGGCAAAGTGGTGGGAAGTGAAGATGGCTTCGATTAGCTTTTCGTCTTGAATGGAGCGGGCATTCTTCAGGCCGACCATAGGCTGGCTGGAACGTGTGATGGAGGCATGGTTGGCCCAATGCAAGTAAGTGAGAGCGGGTATGCGAGCCTTGCTGCGGTATTTTGCTGCATAGCTCAGGGTAGTATCGCTAATGCGAGAGGGCACGGCCATGAGTGCTGGGTAGGTGGCACAGAAAGAATAGTGAGCGTTGATGTCGGTGAAGCGCCAGGCTTTGGACCGAGAGCCAAGACCTTGACGAGCGAATTCCTTCTTGGGGTCGTAGATGCGAGCGACGTCTTGCTGTGGAAGAGCATCGTGTGGCGCTGGCTGGTAGTAGAATGCATAGAGTTGAGAGATATCGGTGAGGATAGCACACTCTTTGAGACTGTCAAAGACAGCCAGCTGATCATGCTCGGAGTGGAAAGCAAAGGCGGCCGAGTCAAAGTTCTTGCAGAAGAGAGTGATGGGATAGATGCGTTGAGAGGGGGATAAAGCTTGACTGGAGATGCGAAGAGAGGGTATCCTTGTAGCCTTGAGGATCAGGGAGAGCGGGATTTGGAGGTGCCGTGATGGTCGATCCAACGGGTATTCAAAGATGAGATGATGGGATGTGAGTCGAAGAGCACCACGGTGACATGATGATTCGCCTCTTCGCTGGAACCAGACATGGGCGAGGAGATCCACTTTTGGCTTTGGCAGCGATATGAGTGAAGTCGAAGATAAGGATGTCGAAGCCGTCGAAGCGTGCATGGTGAGGTCCCCCTGGAGGGCCGCAAGACAAGAGACTTGCAGACAGAATGACTCGGTTTTTCGTGAGCTCAGCTGTATGACAGGCTGCCAGAAGTGATTGTTTGCTTTGCCTAAGTTGTCCTTGGTCCTTGGTCCTTCAAGATAGCGTGACAAGCTATCCGGGGGGGGGGGATGTGCTTCCGATAACGATGAGAGGCACAGGTGTGATGGTGTCACGATATCGGATCAGCGTTCTGGTCGTCTTGGTAATGAGAATGCAGCCAAACAGGCGTCGAGATGCTTGTTCTCTCTGCCATCTAATTGTCGGATAGGCCGATGTGCTGATACATGCAGTTCAGGGTCCTCCCTAATTAGCCTTTCAAGGCAGTTCAAAGCTCGACACTAACTCTCTTCAAACGTCCGTGCGAGAAGGCTTCAGAAAGATGCTCCATCAGAGAACGCTGCTTTGCTTTTTCTTTTCGCGGCTCTACAGCTGAGGAAACGTGCCGACATGCCAAATCCCCTCTCTCTCTCTTTCTCTCTCTCTCTCTCGCAACTCGCCCCAGGCAAAGTTTGAGAGCTGGATTGACTTTCTTCGGCTTATCCGACGAGGATGCTGCTGTCCAGCTACAGTACAGCTAATGGCGTGGGAACAAGATAGAAGTGGAACGAGCAGCGGCGCATACTCCTTGACCTTCTCGCATCCTCCATCCAAAGAGCACTCCAACGGCTCAGTCTCGCTCAATATGAGCAGACCTATCGACGCCCCATCCGCACAGCCCTCTCGGCGAGATGCCAATCCACCATCAACACAACCATCAACTCAAGCATCCAGCCTTCGATCGGCGCAGTACTCATCTTCCGTGCGATTCGAACAGGTTCCCACTCACGATCAAGCCAACACCTCCATGGACAGCACTCGCCCCGGCTTCATTCAAGAACCAAGCTCCGAGGATGACGATCACTACCACTACTACTCGAGCTCACACACCGATTCTGGTCACAGATCGAGCTCCTTTGGCATCGCAACGCCAGCGCACGCTTTCCCATCCTCGTCTGCTTACCATTACAAAGCTATGATCAGCAAGCACGGTCACGGCTTCCCACACAGGGCCGACTCGGTCCGCAACATCTCGGCCCTCGCCAATCTTGTCGACTACCGCTCCAACTACTTCGAGGACCATCGTGTCGGCGAACAAGAGATCAAGCACCGCACAAAGCATCTTGCTTGGTCCAAAGCGACAGCCGTTTGCGAGTACTATGAACGTCTCAACGAGACCCTAGATGGCTGGAGAGAGGTTGACGAGATTCTCGACTCACGCTTCCCCGACCAAGTCATGCGACGCTTCATCCAGCACGATCAACTCCGCAACAAGAAGAATCAGCGGCCAAGGTCATCCAACAAGGGCAAGCGTCGCAACAAGCAAGCTCACTTTCAGCAGAACGGCCGAAAGACGCCTGTTGAAAGCGATGGCAATGTCTCGGACCAAGACGAGACAGAGGAGGAGGACAGAGGTAGAGCAAGGCGCTCACTCAAGAGTAGCTTCAGTGCCAAAGCCATCGATGCTTTCAGTGGTCTCTGGTTCGGCGCCTCAAATAGTCCACGCGCATCCAGCAAATCTGATCTTGAGCGAGGACGCAGCAACTCACATTCCTACTCGCACTTGCACTCGCACTCGCACTCGCACTTGCACACGCACTTGCACACGCACCGCCCCGACAATCCGCCATCCAAGCGCGAGGCTTTCGATTTGACTTCAGCCACCGAGGAGGACCAAGAGCGAGATGATCAAGCATCCCACATTGAGCAAGCTCCACTCTCAAGCTCATCTCCCGCTCTGAACAACAGCCGCACGCCATCCACACGGCGCGACTATGGCGCCACCTCAGCCTCCACTGCCGGTCAGCTCTTCGACAAGCTTCGTCGTGAAGGACGCATAGAGCAGATCCGCCGTTCCGAGTCCCAGCTTGCTCTCTCTTCTGGCGCTAGCACTCCAGCTCACGGCAGTTGCACACAAACACCCCACGACGGTATCTCGTCTCCTGCATCTAGAGCCAACATCATCCGACCAAGCCAGGTCGAGAACATCCCAGAGCACCATGGTGACGCTTCTCACGACTCGAAAGGGATCCATCTCGAAGGCGTCAAAGTCGTACGCAACCCCCGTCATCAAGCTAGCCTCGACCGTGATCTCAGTCGCGAGCGTCAGCATCGCCCATATGCCTCACAAGAAGAGGAGAGGCAGGCACTACTCAGCACCGTACCAAATCGCGCAAAGGAGGAAGAGACTTCACGTTCTGTCCAGTTCGCTATCAACATCAACCTCATCGTCAACATCCTTCTGCTTGCAGGAAAAGGTGTAGCTGTACTCTCCTCCAATTCGGTTTCGCTCATTGCATCCCTTGTCGACAGTGCTCTCGATCTCTTGTCCACCATCATCATCTTTGCTACTTCCAAGGCCATCGCATATCGTTCCTGGAGGACCATCTACAAGTACCCCGTCGGCAAGCAGCGTCTGGAACCCCTCGGTGTCGTCATCTTCTCCGTCCTCATGATCGCATCCTTCGTTCAGGTCTTCATCGAGTCCGTTGGTCGACTCCGCGAGGTCCTCGCCGAGTCGCAAAAGGATCCAGGTTTGCCTCTTATCGGCGTCACTTTCATGCTAGCAACAATCGGCATCAAGACGGTCATGTGGCTACTTTATCGCTCTTCCAAGTCCTCTGGTGTCCGGGCCGTGGCACAAGACGCTGAGAATGATGTCGTCTTCAACATTGCCTCGCTCATCTTCCCCATCCTCGGCTCCAGACTTGGCTGGCCAGCACTCGATTCTATCGGCGGTATGGTCCTCTCTGTCTACATCATCTACGAATGGGTCGAAACACTGTGGGAGACTGTATCAAAGCTTTCCGGCGCCGTCGCCTCTTCCACAGAGATCTCCAAGTGTCTATACTGCGTTGTTCGCTTCAACTCGGTCAACAGCGTCTCTGCCTTTGAGCTCTTCCACTCGGGTGACAATCTCATTGTCGAGGCTGACATCGTGCTGCCTCATTCCATCTCGCTCAAAGAGTCTCACGATCTTGGAGAGATCATCACTTACTGCACGGAGAACATCACAGGCGTCGAGCGGTCTTACATACATCTCGACTACAACCCCAAGGGACAAGCAGGGCATCTCACGCAGCGAGGCTAACTGCATCATGCCCAAAACTCTGTGCCTGTCTTTCATTTAAAGTCTCACATGACACACTCATCGGACGCTCACTGTCGGAATCGCATCAGTCTTCACACGCCTCTATCTCTGAGCCCCTTCTTGCTGAACCTTCGTTCTCTCCTTTGTTCAGCTCAATCACATTCGTTTGGCTCGTTTCAACTGAGATTGCTTTCATTCGATTGCTGGGTGCTACTGTACAGTCCCTGTGCAGAAGTTTGAGGACAATCAGGTAATTTCCTGATTTAGCTGATTACCCAGCATTCAGGTTGTCATTGTCATTGAGCAATAGCACTACCATCATACTAAGCAAGAACACTTCAAACACTGAGATGGTTTGTGGCAATGAGCTCTCTCCAATGCAGCATGCTTCAATTGTTGCAATGCATGATACTGGGCTGCAAATTCAACAAATTGCAGAGCTAAGTGGTGTTTCCAAAACAGCAGTTCACAAGACCATCCTTAACTTTAAGGAGTGTGGTTCCTTCAAAACAAAAGCACAATCTGGCTGTCCACACTCCTGAACAGCTACCTCAGACTGCTACCTTCAGCATGAGGTACTCAAAAGCCCATTTCTATCATGGTGACAGCTGTCAGCATCACTTGGCAGCATTCCAATAATGCAGCTCCAGAAAGCAGCATACCAGGCCAGTATTAACCACTGGATTGCACTTCAAAAGCCATTTCTGACATCCAAAAACTGGAATAAATGTCTAGAATGGGCCAAGGCTAACAGCTCCACTGATTGGAGGGGTGTGCTGTTCACAGATGAGGCAGCTGTCAAGGTTGGCTACTGGCCCAGAAGCACATGAGTTAGTTGCTGGAAAAACACTTGAGAAGACATCAACAACATGGTTCTGACCTTCTGTTCTGGCCATTTCAGCATCCAGGTATGGGCTGGCATTGCATACAACCTTAAAACCCCATTGGTTGTGCTCCCATTGGCTCCAAGGAAGAAGCAACCAGGGTTGAGTAATCAATGGGATCCTGCCAAGAACCTCACAGCTGTCAGGTATTGTGATTGGATCATCTACGGCCTGCTCTGGGACACTGTAACTGCTGTTAGTGTATACCCTGATGGCCTGTCAGTTGTTGAAGACAGCAGCAGCTGTCATCAGGCCGCTATCTGCAAGCAACGGCGGGCCGAACATAACATTAAGATGCAGGGTTAGGGGTTCTAGGGGTGTCCAGCCATGGGGTAGACGCGTCTTGCCCTGGAAGACGGTCCATGTCAGGGGTCTCGTGCCTGGAACCTGATATCTGTAGTAGAAATGCATCTATTACAGATCTTATCAAGATATGTGGTAAAAGGCCATTTATTATTATTCTTGTTGAAATCTGTCATAGAAGGCCTCTATGACTTTTCTTGCTCAAACATGTGATAGATTGATTGCTATTGCAGGTTTTGACTGACTGCTGTGGACACTCCATCCAGAGGTAGCTCAGCACAATCAATAACAATAGATGTATTGCACTGACACCAAGGTCTGGTGTGAGTGATGCTGTTGGCACCAACATGAGTGTCCAGTGTGTCGACTGAGTGTTAGGGTTAGGGTTAGGGTTACAAGGGTGTTCCCGGCGAGACCCTTGGAAACATGAAATCTGTACTAATGAGATATGTAGGGATACCCTAGGACTATGTGTATGCAAAGTCTCACGGTACCCTAGCCCTAGCCGGTGTGTCTTGCTTGCGGGCAACGCACAATTGCGCTCCGCCAAAATCGAAATTCACGCGACTGCGTTGACCCCCAACGCACTCGAAATTTACACTGCTCAAGTGCTGCAACGCAAACAAATTTATTTTCGCTGGAGCAGCGCAAATTGAGCAACGCACAGCTGGAGCAACGCACACTCTGCTGGAGCAACGCAATCTGAGCAGCGCACAGCTCGAGAGCAACGCACTGTTCGAGAGCAACGCACAGCTCAAGAGCAACACACAGCTCAAGAGCAACGCACAGCTGGAGCAACGCAATCTGAGAAGCGCAATCTCATCAGCGAACTGCTGGACAGCGCACACTCTGTCGGAGCAGCACAATTGAGAGCAGCGCAATTGAGAGCAGCGCAATCGAGAGGAGCGCAATCACGAGCAGAGCAGGAGAGAGGAGCACAATCGACAGTAGCGCAAGAGAGAGCAGAGCGAGAGAGAGGAGCGTAATCGACAGGAGAGCAATCTAGAGACGAGCAGCAGAGAGGAGCGCAATCGACAGGAGTGCATTCGACAGGAGCACAATCGAAAGGAGCTCAATGGACAGGAGCTCAATGGACAGGAGCTCAATGGACAGGAGAGCAATCGACAGGAGCTCACTCGAGAGCAGAGCAGGAGAGAGCAGCGCAATTGACAGTAGCGCAAGAGAGAGCAGAGCGAGAGAGAGGAGCGCAATTGAGAGGAGTGCAATCGAGAGGAGAGCAACCGAGAGGAGCGCAATCGGGAGCAGAGCAGCAGAGAGGAGCGCAATCAAGAGGAGCGCTCACTCTGCTGCAGCAGCGCAATCGAGAGGAGCGCAACCAAGAGGACCACAATCTACAGGAGCTCACTCGAGAGCAGAGCAGGAGAGAGCAGCGCAATCGACAGGAGAGCAATCGAGAGACCAGCAGAAGAGAGGAGCGCAATTGACAGGAGTACAATCGACAGGAGCTCATTGCAGAGGAGCGCAATTGACAGGAGCGCAAACGAGAGCAGAGCAAGAGACAAAAGCGCAATTGAGAGCAGAGCAGGAGAGAGGAGCGCAATTGACAGTAGTGCAAGAGAGAGCAGAGCGAGAGAGAGGAGCACAATTGAGAGGAGCGCAATCGACAGGAGTGCATTCGACAGGAGCTCAATCAAGAGCAGCGCAATCGAGAGGAGCTCAATCGAGAGCAGAGCAGGAGAGAGGAGCACTCACTCTGCTGCAGCAGCACAATCTAGAGGAGCTCGATCGAGAGGAGCGCACACTTTGCTGGAGCAGCACAATCAAGAGGAGCACACTGCTGAACAGCGCTCACTCTGCTGGAGGAGCACAAGTGGAAGGAGCACAAGACTAACCATCATTTCAAACCTGATCTAACATTTGGAGCACGTTGACCGACATTTATTTTTGACATCAGATTCAATCTAACATTCTTGAGACGCGTCTAACATTTTGTGACCTCTATTTCGACCTCATATTTTCGTACCTTTTGTTAAATATGTGTTCTTTGTTTCGATCTAGTATTTTGCGCACATTACTGATACTTTGAAATGATTGTATCGATCTAACCTTTTTGGCATGTGACCTGTGTTATGTAACCCCTTTTTGATCTAACATCCACCACATGTGACTGATGTTTTCCTCGTGCCTCACAGCTAGCAGCGCACTGCTGGACAGCGTAATTAAGAGGAGCGCACTGCTTGACAGTGCACACTCTGTCGCAGAAGCACAACTCAGAGCAGCGCAATCGAAAGCAGAGCAAGAGAGAGGAGCGCAATCGACAGGAGCGCAATCAAGAGGAGTGCAATCGACAAAAGCACAGTCGACAGGAGCGCAATCGAGAGATGAGCAGCAGAGAGGAGCGCAATCGACAGGAGTGCAAGAGAGAGCAGAGCAAGAGAGAGGAGCGCAATTGAGAGCAGAGCAATCGACAGGAGCGCAATCGACAGGAGCTCAATTGAGAGCAGAGCAGGAGAGAGGAGCGCAATGGAGAGCAGAGCAATTGAGAGGAGTACAATTGAGAGGAGCTCACACTGTGCTGGAGCAGCACAATCTGGAGGGACGCATTCGATAGCAGAGCAATCGACAGGAGCGCTCACTCTGCTGGAGCAGCACAATCGACAGGAGCACAATCGAGAGCAGAGCAAGAGAGAGGAGCGCAATCGAAAAGAGGGCAATCAAGAGGAGCGCAATTGACAGGAGCGCAATTGACAGGAGCGCAACTGAGATCAGAGCATCCGAGAGGAGCGCTCACTCTGCTGGAGCAGAACAATCAAGAGCAGCGCAATCGAAAGGAACTCTATCAAGAGGAGCGCAATCAACAGGAGCACATTGGAGAGGAGCGTAATGGAGAGGAGCGCAATCAAGAGAAGAGCAGCAGAGAGGAGCTCAATCGACAGGAGCGCAATCGAGAGGAGAGCAGGAGAGAGGAGCTATATCGACAGGAGCCCAATCAAGAGGAGCTCGATCGACAGGAGACCAATCGACAGGAGCGCAATCGACAGGAGAGCAATCAATAGGAGCGCAATCGAGAGCAGAGCAGTAGAGAGGAGCTCTATCGACAAGAGCGCAATCGACAGAAGTGCAATCGAGAGGAGCTCAATCGAGAGCAGAGCAAGAGAGAGGAGCGCAATTGACAGGAGTTCAATTGACAGGAGTGCAAGAGAAAGAAGCGCAAGAGAGAGGTGAGCAATCGACAGAAGCACAATCAAAAGGAGCGCAATCGACAGGAGCACAATCAAGAGGAGTGCAATCAACAGGAGCGAGCACTCTGCTGCAGCAGCGCAATCGAGAGGAGCGCAATCAACAGGAGCTCACTCGAGAGCATAGGAAGAGAGAGGAGCGCAATTGATAACAGCACAGAGCTCAATCAATAGCAGCACAATGGACAGGAGCGCAATCGAGAGCAGAGCAATGGACAGGAGCGCAATCAAGAGGAGCGCAATTGACAGGAGCTCATTGGAGAGGAGCGCAATGGACAGGAGCGCAATCGAGTGAAGAGCAGCAGAGAGGAGCGCAATGGACAGGAGTGCTCACTCTGCTGCAGCAGCGCAATCAAGAGGAGCGCAATCAAGAGGAGCGCTATCAAGAGAAGAGCAATCGACAGTAGCACAATCGAAAGCAGAACAATCGACAGGAGCGCTGTAGAGAGGAGCGCAATCGACAGCAGAGGAGGAGAGAGGAGCGCTCCACTGCTGGAGCAGCACAATTCAGAGGAGCTCAATCGACAGGAGTGCAATTGAGAGGAGCGCAATTAAGAGGAGCGCAATGAAGAGGAGCACAATGAAGAGGAGCGCAATCGAGAGATGAGCAGCA